TAAAATCTGTATTTAAGACGGCCCGCAATTTGCTAAAATTGGAGCATTTATGACGAAACTAAAACGTTGGTAGCACCGTCTCGATGGATTACATCACTTTGTAATATTTGACTGCTATCATAATCGCCGCGAGTGTTTCTGCATTCCGATGGGTGGTATTAAGCGTCATATAAATGATATCATAACCGTTATCTGAAGTGAAGCGTCCACATTTTCACACGAATGTTGGTTGAAGGCTTGAAATATAGCAGTTCAACACCACTTTAGTAAGAAAAAGAAATAATCGTAAAGTGTAAAAACTTCTTTCAATCCAAAAATCGATGAGTTTTTTGTTGAAAATACCAAACTCTAAGTGGGAACTTTTCAAAAAAGTCTTGCTGACTCAAAACTCCATGAGAAAATAATCTTGCTTGATCAACATATGCATGAACTAAGTGACTAACTTCGAATCTTCGTCAAGATAGCCTATTCGACTGTTGCGATGTGCAAACAATCTCACATCAATTTTTATAAAGTAGTACGTCTTATTTCCAGCTTCTGCATACAATTCTTGAAATTCTATTGAATCAATAGCACTTGAAATTCTATTGAATCAGTAGCACGATAGAAGTCTAATTGCAACCTATAGTTATATATTTTAGCCAATTTTTGAGCGAAAAAAAAGCCTCAGTTGGTGTCGCCTGAAAGTCGTAGTGGTTGCTTTATCACAAAGGATATATTGTCTCTTCTTCGAGAAAATTCTGTGGCTTATATCATGATCACACTATTCGAGTATACAAATCTGCACTTACGTTCAAAGGAATGCAACTGGTTTCCAGTCATTTTTGTACATCTTCTGAATTTTTGATCTGAGTTTCATGCATGTATCTTCTAAATGACCTTTTCTGAATTCTTGTCTTTGCTAGTTATCTTTGAGTCATCATGTGGTCTGTCTATGAGCACTTCATAGCGCAATACACGCGATTCGGAGCTGCAGTCTCGTCAATTGCACACTGCCTTTTGTCTGGGCAGCCCTCACACATCGGATTCTCAGACGTACTGAGATTTGTGCTTGGGCTTGGTTTTAAGAAAACACTCGAAGCTAAAAATGCTGTGTCTTGCTTGAATTCTGCGATGTTATTCATAAAGGCACCACATTTCGCCAAGAAAATAAATTGATTATGGAACATTTCATGACGATGATGTTCATTCCATAGCTTCCGATTGTCTGCTTGAGAAAAATGACCTCGATTTCAGTTGTTGAAACTTATTTCGGAACCAATAGATGAAGAGTGCCAACTCCACAAAAGGATTTATCTACGTGAAAATCTTCGATAGTTTTTTAGCGATTCAGAGCATCAGTTTTTTACGATGACAGCGTTCATGTTGAGAGAATTAATAGTTAGAAAATGATTATCAAAGTCGTTAAACATGCTTTCTAAACGTCATATACCAGTATCAAAAGCGACATTAAGGCTTCTGTTATCTAATAACTACACGAGTGTTACCATCAAAAACAGCAGTAAACTGTAGAGAACGCTAAAACAGTATATCGGTCAATTAATCCGTTTATTATGGACATCTTAAAATATTTCCTACGGCAGTGATTATAAATGTGGTCGTGGATGACGGTTCAATGCAGTAAACATTTAACATTAAAGCGCTTTACGTTATAAACAAGTAACTTTCTTCTGATTCAACCACTGCAAGTACGAAAGTGAAATATTTTTTGACCAGTTAATTCCTTTGTTTTCATTCAAAATCGTATAGCATTTATACTAAAGACGGGAAAAAATCTCATGGATGATAGTCAACAACGAAAGCCCTATGGAAATCCTCAGCGAGATTATCGTTTGTATTGCAGATAGGCGTGTTAATTAGTATTTTTCGACTCTGAAGAAAAACACGAGTAAAGAAATGAATGCTCAAAGTTCTGGGATCTATACAATGAGGAAAATATGAGACGGAACAAATAAAGTCGTAAATATTCTACCGCTCATTTCGAGAGTCTCATTAAGACCACGCTTAAATTTTGATCTATCTCATAGCTATTAATTGAGCCAATATGACATGTGGTCTGTCATGGCCTGTTGCACAGCCCGATACACATGTTTCGGCCATCCAACCTCATCAGTCAGGCAGATCCTTCGTCTTTGTCAATCCTTTCGGGAGCTCCTACATCCCCCTTTTGTATAGTAGGCAGCAACGAACGATTTACATGATCGCTGTCAAGTGAAAAAACACAAGATGGGTAATTTTTGACACTCACTTGCTCGTGGCTGATACTTTTGAAATATTATACCGTTTGTTGCAAGTGTTTTATCAAAACCACGTTCAAATTTTGATATATCTCATATTTATTATTTGAACAAACTTCTTACCCGGTCTGTTATGGATTCTTGTACAGCCCGATACACATGTTTCGGCATTTCAGCCTCGTCAGTCGGGAAGTGTCCATAACAGGCCACATGGCATGTTAGCCCAAATAATAATTATGAGGTATAAAGTCACAGAGTAAAGTGAAAAAATACAACATCACTTAGATCTAAAAAGTCATATGCGGTACGTTTTTCTCGCCGTATACTTTTCGAATTGTTCCAAACTACACTGATGGTGCTTTGTAGGACGGATGATCAATACCTGCCTCATTTACCTTTCGATATTTTGACACATCTTTTAATAGATACAGCAGTTTTAACCTGATGACCCCACTGTCTGAGCCATCCTTGCGGTCCCATCTCTGCAACATTGAAATTTTGACATGCATTTTATATGTTGAATTGGAATATACGAGAAGAACGCTGCTTTTGTACAACTGTGAATTTTCAAAATTTCTTTTTCACTTGCTTGTATACTTGGATGGCTCTTCTTGTCCATTACTGAAGGCCTTAACCTAATGTATTTGCACAGTTGTCGTCCATTGCCGTGACCTGTCTCACAACGATGTAGTACGCAAGGCCTATCCATAATTTTGAACTTATTGTCTTCTGCGTATTTAGGTGATTGAGATTACCGAAATGCCGCCCAACGTTCAAATGGTCATTAAAGAAGACTTTTTTATACACTCCAATGTCTATTTCATTTGCCTGTCATCTTTTCTTCTCGTCACGTGACCAGCCCGTCTGTGTATCTCTACGACGGATTCACCTTTGGATTCCGATTGTGGGATGGCTTCCAATGACCTAAAACGCGCAACCGGCTAGACGATATGGGCACCGACTGAGTTCAGGAGAATTTGTTCAGATCCTCTCTAGATGGTGGGTAAAATAACTGATTTTGATGAAACAGCAACCCACGTTTTTGCTGGATTGCAAAGAACTGAGACAACATTCTTTCTGTGGAGACGCAAGTTCAGTGAGTTAAAATACGAAGAAATTCACCGGTTTGCTCATATCCGTGGTAGGTGGCAAGGGAGATTGGCTCAAAGCAATGTCACTGCGTACTAGGTTAACAACATAGAGAGCTTCCCGTCTGATATCATCGCTCATTGTCATATCAGGGAATGAGAATACTGAAATAGACAGCACTGTATAACTGTAACCAAGATAACGCATCTTGTCTTTTCGTCCAAAACAAATGGCCATTGATATTTCACTGTGACAAAGAATAGCGGAGAACAAAAGTACCACATTTACATTTTTAAACTCCGCTGCACGTTGCCAAGGAAACAAAGAAGATGTTGACCGATTTAGGTTGGGAGCATTTGTATCATCCGCCGTACTTGCCAGATCTGACTCCATCCGATTTCCGTCTCTTCAGAACATTGGAGCACTGGTTGGACGAGAAGAAGTTTCGAGACATCAACCATTTGCGTCGAGAAATGTCTGGTTGGTTTGCATCGAAGAATAATGGATTTTATAAGCACGGGATTGATGTGTTGCCTGAGCGTTTTCAGAATTGCGTCCAGGCAGATGGAGAATACTTCAATAAATGTTACCTGACACTTCCGAATACTTAAAAAAAAAAGAATTTTTGAGGTTTTGAACCTAATTCGGGAAATTTGTGGGAGACTTAGTAGTCTCAGGAAAGAACGCCTATGAGTGCTAAAATTTCCTTTTTCAAATTGAAAACCACATTCCTGACAAAAGGGCATTTTCAACCCTAGTCGTACGGTTTCATGCTGTCATGCTTAAAATTATTTGTCGCTCTAGTTAAGTTGTTTTCATTATCTTCTATCATCAACAACAATTCGCCTCGATACCTTATCACAACAAGTACAATAAATGACTCGATCACATAATCAATAATCATTTATAGCAGTAAGTCTGTTCTTTTGAAATTGAATACCGCGACATAAAGCTCTTATTTCAGTTTCGTTCATTTCATACAATAACCAGAAGTATTTGTAGTGGACGAATTTGGAAAACAATGAATAGTATAATTATTTGAAATAATATTTCAATTATATTTATATATTATATTATTATTTATATTATATATAAATATAATTTCTCAATAATTTTAATAATTTTTGAAATTAACTAATAAATAATTAAATTAAATTAATTAAGTTTTTGATTTTTCTATAATTTTTTTTTATAGATTATATTTTTTTTATCATTTATGTTTTTCAATTATATTTTATAATATTTTTGGTATTAGTTTTTTGCATATATTATTTTATTATTATTATTATTTGCGAAATCGCATACCCGACCAAACCTGTGAAAGGTTGGTGGCTGATAGCTAACATTGAGATGCTGAAGAATGAGTGGTCGGGCAAATGTGCCTCAGTGCTGTAGTGGTAGAGCACGCGTCCCCGGATAGGATGAAACGTCGGTTCGATTCCCGGCTGAGGCCGCGTTTTTGCTCGCCACTCAAATCTCTTAGGTACATAGAAAACATCATAACAATGCAAAATGGCATTGAAAAATACTATTAATGTCGAGTATTAGTAATTAGAATAGCTGTCAACTCAACTGGGTTTATAAAGCGAAATCGCATAACCGACCAAACCTGTGAAAGGTTGGTGGCTGATAGCTAACATTGAGATGTTCAAGAATGAGTGGTCGGGCAAATGTGCCTCAGTGCTGTAGTGGTAGAGCACGCGTCCCCGGATAGGTTGTAACGTGGGTTCGATTCCCGCCTGAGGGCGCGTTTTTGCTTGCCACTCAATTCTCTTAGGTACAATGAATAGTTTCTTAAAATTGATACATCATAACGAATGCGATGTCAGATCATCGATAACTTTTCAACAACTTTTCGGTTATCAGTGAAATTCAGGATGCAGAAAATAGCAACACTGAGATACTAAGTTCAAACAGGCTAAAAATATGTGGCAAATCATGATTAGCCTGTAAGTCTAAGACGTGGACTCAATCCACCACCTTGCACTACGAACTGTGCAAATGAAAGTCGTGATGTCATACAAGTTCATAGTTTAACGCTCGGCTTTACTATATGGATGAAAAATTCAAAAGAGCATGAATAGGCAACTGATATCCTAGTAATCGTGAAAATAAGAACGATCAGTCAACGGTTGAACATTACCCAAGAACTGAACATAGAAATGGAAAATTATGAGCTTGAGATGGATAAGGATTTGAGCAAAGTTGTTAGAGTACTGTGGGAGCGATAGAGATCAAAACTTGAGCAAAGGTATAAGATCTCAAATCGTGCATGCTAAATTGAAAAGAAGGATACAAACGTGTTAAACCTGTGAACGTTAGGTAGTCAAATATGGTTGTGTTCGTCTGTCAGTGGGTGGATTACTTGTATAGATCGCCTGGTCAGCCGGCCAGATCACATGTCACTTGCTTTTGATATCCTTATAGGTGCGCATACCATTGCTTACTTCGTATATAAGTCGACATATATGCTATAAACTTGTAATTGAACATCAAATTATTGGAATCTAAAGACTGCATGACAGCTCAAATAGAAACTATTTGATAGGAAAGCCGGTACGCCAATATGTTGAACAAAGAAAAATAACTATTCCACCTCATTTCCTGAGCAAGAATTTTTCAACAAGATTCTTAGTAATCATTCGAAAGCTTAAATCTCTGGCTAGAGCAGTGTGTGGCCTTCTCCGAAGAAGCTTTTTTATACGCTGTAGCATTCAAATAAAATTATTCAATATAGAATAAAATTCGCTCACTTTCATTTCTCTCACGCGTGTAAATCACTGGTCACGAAAAGCATGTTAACCTGTAGAGGAAATCCCGTAGTATATAATTTAATCGTTTTATATGGAGTTTCTTCCAAAGTGGAAAAAAATTCCCATTTGAAAACAAGCTGCAGTCCACATATAAAGTATAACAACAAAACGCCGTTGACAGAAAATAAGAAAACAACTCAAGTAGAACAACGCATAATTTTGAGCATGACAGAACAAAACTTTGGGACAAAGGTTGAAAATGCACTTTTGTCAAAGATGTGGTTTTTCCTTTGAAAAATTGAATTTTATCACTCTAGGTGTTCTTTCCTAGAACTACTTCTACAGAAGAGTCTTCGGTGATTTGCCATCCCTTCAATGACACTTAATTCCAAATTATAAGTGCTAGACTATTTTTGAACTGTGGGCCCACAACAAAAATTGGCCGCAGTCAGTAGAGTTTCAAAAATATGTGAATGCTGAAAAATGGTCTCTACAACGGCAGTAGTACAATCGTTGGTGCTTACCGCTTTTTTTCCAAAATATACTCAACTGACTTTGCTTTTTTAGAAACGGATGAATGTTCGTATATCAACAGATCTCTTCATGTTAATTTGAGTCAATATGTCATGTAGTCTGGTAAAGGGCTCTTTTAGAGCCCGATGCACGTGTTTCGACTTTACAGTCTCGTCAGCCGGGCAGAACTCCTTGTCTTCCAGTCTTTTTTATTCAATCCTCTGTGGCTGCTCCAATCCCAACTTTAAGAGGTAGCGAAGACGAACGATTTACACCGTAAATCAAGAAAAACTATCACGGAAATCTACAGTGTTGTACATCCGATTGTTCTTCGACTGCTATTTCCATAATACCTTTATTTCGAGTGTTTTCTTAAGACCACGCTCAAATTCAATAGATTTCTTCATTATTATATGAGCCAACATGTATCGTATGTCAGCATAAAAGTACACCTATACGGCAAGCTCAAAGCCGAAACAAATACAAAGCTAGATTCGAGTAGGTACAAATACACGCCGGAGAGGATCCTTGCACAGGTATAGAAAACCTGAGCGTATAAGATTTTTGAAGCATTGTGGAGTGACTTCATGAATGGTACAAATGAATCGCAGAGAGGATTGGTAACTATTATACGTGATATGGGCACGTTATTTGAGACTGTTATTTTGATATGAGAGTGCATTCAAAGTTTATGCGTGATGTGTATCTACTTGAACAATTCAGTGGAGAACTTGTAAAAAGCAGTAATTGTTTTTGAAGCGTTTTTTGCGTGGTGTAATTGTAAGCTGAGCCTCGTAACTTTTTCTGTAATGAAATAAGGGGAGTGGGAGTGGATGGTTAACTGGCTGGATTCTGAACAATATAATCTTTCTGAATTCTGAAGAAGGCGAGACCACCAAAACGCTGGCTGTTTGCATGAACTATACGTTATCATATCGACCTTGAGTGTGGCTTACGATGAAAGAAAACGAAAAAAAAAAAAGAAGAAAAAGAAAAAAGAAAAGGAAAACCAATCACGTATAACATCACAAAATAAGGACTATCCAGAAAATGTTCCTCGTTTATTGTCAGACGCAGTGAGGAAAGTCTTAGCAAATATCGGGCTGCAACGTATGTGTTGAATAAGCAATCGATCAACAGCGAAAAGACATGGCTTGTCATTTTGCAGACGAGATTTTAACCCTAACAGAGTGTATCCATTTGGAAAACGGTTCTTTTCTTTTGACGTCAACAAATGAAGACGATCCCTTTGTTGGACAATATTAGAAAAAGGCAGAGAGGGAGGGGGGCGGAGGACCGAGGGGAAGGCTCTCCTTTTGCTGCCCCCCGCCTAAGTTGCTGTCGTTGTCTGTTGTCGCGGATTGTTCCTATCTTGAGCAGTTCCGATTTCGTTGCGTTCGTGATTACGCGTG